GAGTCTAGAAACTTCTCTCGAGCTGGGAATGGCTGTTTCTTTGTCACCCATGAGTCAGGACTTAGAGGTTGGGACCCCCAGAGGCTCTGAATCTGAGGTAGAGACATCAGGAGGGGAGCGGGTGGGGCCTCCGTCTTCCACCCTCAGTCTAATCTCATCTCTGAGCTTCACTGCCGTCTCCTCCCAGCCTTCCCTGCTCTTTACCCTACTGAGACTTCAGGGATGGGAGCCAGGGGTGGGAGGTCCCGTCTATTTCCACCCTATCATGGGCGGGACCCTCCCATGCGGACCCTCCCCGTTCACTGCCCTCAATCATTATTGTTTCAGAGCTCCCCTGGAGGCAGGACCTGAGCTGAGCATTTGAGCTCAGAGAGGACAGGATCAGGGCCCTCACCTAAGACCACAAGCTCCAGGGGATCACTGGGGGCCGACCACTCGGAGGAGAGGTTGTGTGCACCGTAGAATCTGTACTGGCCCCCATGGGAGCCCCTCACAGGGCCCAGGGTAAAGTTGGCCTGGGAGAGCCCAGCCTGGGGCTGCCGGCCAGGGCACTGGAGGAAGTCACATCCCCCCTCCTTGTATAGAGCGAATCTGTCGTAGCCGGCATCAGAGCCACACTGGAGGGTCAGCTTCTCCCCAGGGGCCACGTCAGGACCCGGCTACACTGAGAGTGATGGCTTCTTAGAAACACCTGGGAAAAGGTGGTCACGGTTTCCAGGAGCGACCCTCAGGCTTCCCCACAAACCCTCCCTCTCCCCCTGGGCCTCACCACTGCTGATGTTCCCGTGTCTCTGGCCCCAGGAGCCCTGAGCCCTCTCGTCCCAACATCATCCCACCTGGCGCTGCCCTGAGACGTGGCTCCTCCCCACCTGCCTGGAGACTCAGGGAACTCCAGGCAATGCTGTGAATTTCTCACCTGGGACCAGGAGCTCCAGGAGATCACTGGGTAAAGACCACACATAGGGAGAGCATGACTCATAACTATAGCACCGGTACCGCCACCTGCGACTCGGGCTCATGGGGCCCACGGAGAAGACGGCCCAGGACCAGCCATGGACATGGAAGTGGGAGTTGAGACGTTGTGGTTGTTCATCTTCTCCTTCCTTACACAGAATGAAGCCATCAAATGCCACCCGTGAGTCACACTGGAGGGTCACGTTCCCTCCTGATGTCACCACAGGGCTGGGCAGGGCTGAGAGGGTGGGTTTGCTGTAGGCTCCTGGGAGAGAAGGAGGCACATTGTAAATGGGACTCACACATCCCACATCATCCCCAGGGCTGGACTGTGAGAGGGAGACGCCCCTGAGAGCCGACCCCCTTCTTGAGGACAGAGCCTGGGGCTGGGACCCCTGAGTGTCCTCTCACCTGTCACCACCAGCTCCAGGGGGTCACTGAGCTCTGACCACAAACTGCGGCTGTAATACTGACAGCGATACCGCCCTGCGTGTTCCCAGGTGATGGATGGGATGGGGAACTGGCCCTTCTTCACAAGCTCTGGTCGTATCAATGTAATCCAGGATGCCGATTTTCTCTCCCTATATAGACGGTACTCCCCGGCTTCAAGGTTTCCCTGACACCTGAGGGTCACGGGACTGCCCTGGGTGATCACACGGTCTGGCTCAGCCCAGAGCATGGGCTTGGGGAGGATTCCTAAAAGGAAATCAGAGATCGGATTCTAAGTCATTTCCCACCCAACAGATCTCAGCTATTGGCTGCAGGACCCTCCA